TGAATAAGACAGAAGTCAAAATTTGACAGTGCGAGAAATTAATTTTTTAAATACTTCTTTAATGAAAAAAATATACTACCTGGTCCTGAAAAAATTTTTTAATTAAAAAAAAAACGTCCATGTATTTTCTCATATTCTATTATCAAATAAAGCATATTAAACTTAGTAATCGATTCCTTAAAAATACTAATTATGAAGTTCGTAAAATGATCTCTCACCTATGGTACCAAAGCTTCAGGTTCCAATCCTAGCGGTGGCATGGAGTTTTGTTAGTATTTCAGAATGCCCTTTAAATTGTATGTGTCGTCTAATTAGTCCAGTGCTTTCAAAAATGACCGAAGAGCCACAATACAAAACAAATATTGAACTGAACTGAAACAAAATACCCTAATTTCTTGACAAAATCAATTGTATCTTTTTTATAATGGCTGTGTGGATTTCATTTTTTTCAAATACATATTTTATATAAATATCTACCAAAAAATTATATCGACATTATTAATATAAGTTTAATTATTTAATTATTAATAAACATGTAACAAGAGTATCATTAATCAAAAAAGCCTGACAATCATTTGTATAAAACATATCCCACAATTACAGATTTACATGAATCTTTTGAATGAAACATTTTAGCTACCTCATCTTTATTAATCATTTAAATAACTGTACTTAATACCGTAATAATTGTTAGGTAGGATCATTACGATAATATTGTAACTTATGTTTACAAAATAAAAAATAAGAATCATGAAGAATCTTGAACTAAAAAAAGTGTAATTATTATCAAATTGTAAAATAAATATTAAGAATAATTATCAGTTGTTACTAGGTTTGAAATTGACTGTATTTTAATCTGAGAATTATTTAAGCTGTTTAAAAGTGTGTGGCATTCAGTTTTTATTTTTTTTCTTAAATGCTTCAAGATTTTTATTTAAAACAGAGGAAATTAAAGGTTTCTTAATCTTCAACAATTAAAGACTATCACAAAAAATTGCATTGCAAAAATAAATTTTTTTAAATGGTAAAAAAAAAATTGTACACTCTGCTTTTACCAAATATCCAAATAACAGGTTTTTTTTACTTTTTCGTTGAACCTAAGCTTTAAAGGATTTTTTTTTTTACCTATTTTTTTTAAATTCCAAATTTTTTAACTACCTTCTTTGAAGAGTTTTTAAGATTCTACTTATTTTTGTAGCTGTTTTCCAGAGCTGAAGAGGAGGCGTGGATTAGTTCGTCACAGGGCTAAAAAAATGCAACAGGAGATGTATTGCATCTTTCTTTTCGTGCCTTGTGGGAAGCAAATACGTTTTTTGCCTTCCATTACATTTTTTTTTGATAAATTCACTTTTATTTTTGTCAGTGCAATGTTAGGAGGATGAAAGGAAAAGGTAAAGGGCAAAAAAATACTCATTAACCTCTGTTAATCGACATAAGACAGCTCTCATCAACGCAAATACTTTTCCAAAGAAAAACAAAACAAGCTCTTGAAGGTTCGTGCCTTCCTATTTCTTTCTTGTGAATCAAACTTTTTTTTAGTAAGAACTCGATAAATTACCAGGTATACATAATATAATATGATAGATATGTACAATTATGGTATTTTATACGCAGAAGTGAATTTTTGTGATGAATAAGACAGAAGTGGGGAAAATGTACTGTTCTTTACTCAAAAGTTTTCCTGATTTAAAAAAAAAACACTTATGTATTTTCTCATATTCTACTATCAATTAAAGCAGATGGAACTCATGAATTGATCCTGTAAAAATAGTAACTAAAATTAACTACTAACTAACCCTAAAAATACTAACTAACATTAACAAATAACTAACCTAAAAATAGTAACATTAACTAATAACTAACCCTAAAAATACTAACTAACAAATAACTAACCCTAAAAATACTAACATTAACTAATAACTAAAGTTAAATATACAAACTAACACTAATCTAACTAACTACTTTTAAAAATACTAAACAACATTAACTAACTAACTATGCTTAAAAATATCATGTAACTTTTTTAAAATTATAACTAACACTCACTAAGCTTAAAATACTAAATAACACTCTTAAAATACTAAATAACACTCTTAAAAATACTAACTAACCTTTAAAATATTAACGAATGCTAACAAAACACTCTAATTTCATGACAAAAATCATATGTTTCTTCTTTATTATGGCTATATGAATTTCATTTTCTTTATATATATATTTTATCTAAATATATAATGAACAATTATACCGACATTAGTAATTTATGTTTAATTATTGAATATATAAATTTGGTGATTATATAATAATTTTTAATGTATCTTATATTTTATTAATAATAAAATAAGAAATCAATATTTACCTCAAATATAAATTTTTATGACACAAAATGAAACACAATATTAACTCGTTTTCCAAGAAATTGAAAAATAACTTTGGTGAGGTTTAATAATATTTTCTTCATTTATAATTCATATTAATTGAATTACAAAATATAAGTAATATAACACCTATATATTTGCACTAGAAGCTTAATTTCAAAAATGAAACTTTAAAAAAAAAATTCGCATTTTCGTATCTAAAAGTAGCTTGAAAAAATTATCATTTAAAAGCAAATTTACGACTAACTGAAAAACAAATTTATTATCATTAATAAGTAATTATATTTTAAATTTTTTTAATTGTTTATAAGGTAGGTTTGCTTTCATCAATTAGACAAATCAGATATAAATTTTTGTATTGTTTTAAAGGTTGTCTCATATTTGTTAAGAAGAGATCCAAAGGCATCAGTGGAAAATGAAAAAAAAAAAAAAAAAATTAATACGTTTTTACACAGAATGATTTCTAACAAAGTGGCTCCCGATATCTTTTGAAATACTTAAAAATTATGTTTAAAATTTTTTAGCTTGCTGACCTATAGATGACAATGAAGAAAGAAAAAATTAATAATGACAATAGGAGAGATTACATCCCTTATTCTATTTAGAAATAGTTAAAAAAAAGTGTTTAAATTCTTTCATTGTCAGGATCATATTAATTTTATACTACGACAAGAAGCTATATATATATTAATTAAAAAAACGTGCAAATTATTTTAGTTTCTATTATGCTTATTTGATTTAGAAAAAGACTTCAATATGGGTAGAATTTTCTTTTATAATTAGATTTAAAATCATTTGGTCGGAATAGGATTATCTTCAAAATAGTTGCTGAAATTAACAAAAGTTTCGTAACAAACAAATGAAATGCTCGAATTAACCAATATAATGGTACTTTCGCATTTTTATTACTGTTTTATTGCCAATATATTTTTTTAAAATTTTTTTTAGATAAAAAAAGGACAAACTTTGGTAAATATCGCCCACTCATTTCTCTAGAAAAAAAAATTATTTTGTGAACAATTTTTCTTAAAAAATATATAAAAGTCAATTTTATGTTATTTTAGGTGTTTAGTAATTAAAAATCTATTTATAATCTTAATATTAGACTTAAAAGAATAGAATTAATCTTCATATTAGAAATAATTGATTTTTAGTAATAAATGTTAAAGTGTTGTTTAAATACATACAAAGTTGTTTAAATACATACAAAGTTGTTTAAATACATACAAAGTTGTTTTAATATATACAAAAGTTCCTAAGGGTAAATGAAAGGAATTAACTATATTTTAATTAAAAGTAAACTCAAAAATTTTCAAATAAATTTTTTCCAAAAGATTTACTAAAAAATTAGTAATAATTTTAATTAAATTAGTAATAATTTAATATAGTTTAGTAAATCAAAAATGTTGCATAATAACTTCAACAGAAAGGCATGACATATTTGGATTCGTCACAAAGTTGTTTTAAAAAGTAAAACATGTTGCATAATAACTTCAACAGGAAGGCATGTAATATTTGGATTGATTACAATGTTTTTTTAATAAAATAAAACATGTTGTATAAGAATTTCAACAGAAAAGCATGGGATATTTGGATTCTTTACAAAGTCGTTTTAATAAAATAAAACATGTTGCATAAGAACTTCAATAGAAAGTCATGAAATATTTGTATTTATTAAAAAGAAGTCTTCAAAAAATAAAAATTGTTGTATAAGAACTTCAACAAAAGGGCATAAAATATTTGAATTCATTACAAAGTTGTTTTAATAATTTTTTTTTTTTTTGCCAAATAGCTATGTTGTTGAGCGATTTTCAAAAAAGTGACTATTTCAAAAGTAGTCTCCTAAATTTGATGGCTTCCATGTGAGTGATGTGAGAAAAACATTTGTTTCCTAATACTCAAAAATGCAGTGAAGTTACATAAAATGACGTCTAAGATCTAACTAAACAAACAAAGAATGCCAACGTTTGTTTCACGGCATTTTTTTCGATGTTACTGAAGATGATTAAATTTAATACTAAGAATGATGATTAAATTCAATAGAAATTCAATAATGATTAAATTCAATAGAAATTCAGAAATTCATGATTAAATTCAATAGAAATACGCTTATGCTAATGATTATTTAAAGTAAATAATATTTCCTTTACATCTTGGGCTACGGTCATTGCTTCCAGAATCGAAAAGATTCGACGCTTTACTGACTGTGAATATATTTTGCAGAAATATCTGCTTATAAATGGGATTTGACATTCTGGAAGTCACTCCTTTTATTCTTCATTG